TAAAATAGGTGTTCCTTCAGCATGTTTTGCTGCTCATTTGGGAGTGACATATGGAGGAAAATGAAAAGGTCATGTACTTGGAAGTCTTCACTTTAGTTCCTTCCAGGCAGCATACATAGGGCTAATCTTAATGGTCTAGAAGACACTCAAGACCCACAGTGTACTACAATGGACACACTCCTGGCCACTCTGTGAAAATACCAAAGAAGTCTTCATCCAAAATCATGACAGGAATCTCTTCACCCAAAAGCCATCACTCTTTTTAAAGACAATGACCAATGAGTTGACTAAACTCATGTTTGGCAGTAAATTCTGTATAAGTTAACCCAAGCCCAGTGAGATAATGGTAAAAACAGCTCTCAGTTTGCCAAGATTCCAGCTACTGTCCATGACAAGTAGATTACTGCTATCACCAAGCCCTGAGAAGGCATTCTGCTATGGGAATACAGGAATGATCATTCAAACAGCAGCCAGATGGTTCACATGGTAGTGCATGTGACTCTTGATCTCAACGTTTTAAGGTTAAGCTCCATGTTGATTACAGAGATTACTTACAAAGTCTTAAACAATAGAAAACTTCAGTCACTACTCAAACCACAGAAGACATTGTTTAATACATTTCTGAGCAAAACTGTAAGATAATTAATGATGTTATTAGAAAAACATAACAGATTGTGTTACTGTGGTCTTGGCATAAGAGAACATTTTTACAAATGGTTAAAAAAAACAACACTAACCATGGGATGTCTGGGTGACTCAGTTGGTTAAGTGTCTACCTTCAGCTCAGGTCATGATCCTAGTACCCTGGATCGAGTCCCAAATCAGGATCCTTGCTCCGCTGGGAGACTGCTTCTCCTGCCTGTTGCTCCCCCTGCTTGTTCTCTCTCTCTCTCTCTCTCTCTCTCTCTCCCTCTGACAAATGAATCAAATCTTTTAAAAAAAGGATTTATCCATTTATTTAGAGAAAGAGCATGCGAGAGCACCACAGGGGAAGGGCCAGAGGGAGAGGGAGAGAGAATCCCTAGCAGACTCTGCTGAGCTTGAGCCCAACATGGGGCTCTTCCAAGACCCCAAGATCATGACCTGAGTTGAAATAAAGAGATGGATCATTAGCTAAGCCACCCAGGGACACCTCTCTGTTTTACTTTAATGTAAATAATGACTCCCTGAACACTTACTCCACCATGATTTATATCACTCTTACACATCAACCACAAACGGCATCTTCATGTGGGCTTTCCTCATACACTATACACCACAGCCTCCTTAACCTTCTGTGCAAAGTGGCACGCGCAAACTCCCCATTATACAAGAGCCCCTCGTGTCTCTGAGGCAGCAACAATAAAATCACTTTGCATGTATACAAGCAATAAAGGCACAGCATCAGATGATTTAAGAGTAAAATAGTATTTGCCATGTGAAAAATCTCAAATGTGGTCAAAAGAAAAGGAAGAGACACACTATTATCCCTCCCCAGACAATGATCATCCCTTGATCCTTTGAGGCATATTAACAGATGCAGCTCACAATCGAGTAACATGGGTTTGAAGGGCCTGGATCCACTTACACCTCAATTTTGTTGATACTGTGTAGTAGTCTAAAAATGTTTTCTGTTATGATTTCCTTAATATTGACTCTTCTTAAGCCTACCTTACTATAATACCGTATAAAACACAGGGAATATGGACTATTTGTTTTAGGTAAGGGTTCTGGTCAACAATGGGCTCTTTCTATGGAAAGCTAGGTGTGATTGGATGCTTGGAGACCCAAGAGTGAAAAGCAGATTGTCGATTGTGTTAGAGTTGACACCCTTAATGTCTGCGTTGTCCAAAGCTAAAATGTTATTGATTTAACTGTTTGAATTTTGCATTCTTTTCTATAATAAATACCCTACTTTAGAATCATGTCTGGAAAATGAGACTAACTTACTGCTTTCTGCTGTGACTTTTCTGATTTTATATAAATGTCATTCCATTACATAGTTCGCTAACTGCTCACATCTTTTATGTTTTTTTCTTTCCTTCACTAAGAATTTTTTCTTAAGTATATACTAAAACATAGTTTTTTCATCCATCATTACATTTCTGGCATTTCTATCCCGTATGCTTTCTCTGAGGTTGAGGAAGATGAAGTTCATTGTGAAGACGCTGTCTACATTCTGGACATTTTACAGTATCGCCACAGGATGTATGATCTCATGTTGAAGAGTCTGGATTATGAAATAAAAGCTTTGCCACATTTTTTACATTTGTAGGGTTTCTGTCATCATGCACTCTCCAAGGCTTAGAAAGTTGTGGTTCTGCCTAAAGGCTTTGCCACATTTTTTTCTTTTTTTACCTTTATCGACCTTCTCACCAGTTATGTGTTGCCTTATGTTGGTAACTTTTAGAATGGTAGTCAAAGGCTTCGCCACATAGAACAAAAGAAGTCCCACAAAAGGACCATCCCTTAATGAAGAACTCCTATTTGCATGACAAAGAACTAACCATCATAAAGATGCGCATGGAGAAAGGAACAGAAAACAGATATGAAATTCAGTGAGACCAGAAAACGGGTCATGACCAAAATGTAAACCCAAAGACACAAAGTATAACAATCGGCCAAGCAGGAACAGGGAGTTAAGAACACGATGACGTAAGTTAAAAACACACCAGTGGGTCACCCACAGACTTGCTCAAGCAGAAGAAACAATCAGACTATCTAAAGACCCTTGTTTTGAAGATCAAAGAAAAATGTCAAAAAGGACATAGTCTGGGGACTCATGGGACACCAGTAAGTGGACTGATATGTACATTAAGGGGACCCCATAAGGAGAGGAGAGTAAAAAGGGGGGAAGAGTTGACATGAAGAAGTAAAGGCTTCTACTGCACACATAAGTGGGAAAAAGAGACAAACTCAACCATCTCAGTAATTCATAGGAGGATAAATGTCAAGACATGAACACACTGACACATTATAATAATCCTAACAAAAGGGGCACCTGGGTGGCTCAATGGGTTAAGCCTCTGCCTTCAGCTCAGGTCATGATCTCAGGGTCCTGGGATCCAGCCTCACATCTCTGCTCAGCAGGGAGTCTGCTTCCCCCACCTCTCTGCCTGCCTCTCAGTCTACTTGTGATCTCTCTCTCTGTCAAATAAAAAATTAAAATAAATAAACCTATCAAAACTCAGAGGTGAGGGACACCTGGGTGACTTAGTTGGTTAAGTGTCTGCCTTCGGCTCAGGTCATGATCCTGGGGTTCTGTTATCAAGCTCCACAGAGGGCTCCCTACTCAGTAGGGAGCCTGTTTCTCCTCTCCCTTGCCTGCCACTTTCCCTGCTTGTGCGTGCTCTCTCTCTCTGTGAAATAAATAAACAAAACCCTTAAAAAAAAATCTGAGGTGAAAAGGGAATTTTGAAACAGCGTGCCAAAAGTAACTCACCTTCTATGAAAAAGAGCTGCTATGAGAGTATAACTGAAATTTTCAGCAGACCTTACAGGAAAAGGGAGTGCGATCATGTATTCAACTACACGCAGAGGAAACAATCCACACCAAGAACAATCGACCTGGCAGAACTGCTGTGCCTGACTATGCAAATGACCGCTACGCCAAGCAAAAGACCCTCTTATTTACCAGCAGACCTGTCCCAAGAAATGTGAAAGGAAATCTTTCTGCTTGAAATAAAAGGATTCAAAAGAGCAACTGAAAGCACGTGACAACATAAAACTCCTGCTAATATAAATATTTACACAATTCTGGAAAACTGTACTGCTGTAATGAGGTAGCACAGGTTACCCGTATTTCTGCTATAGAAGTTCTTAAACAAAAGCATAAAAATCATAAATCGACCTAATTAATTACACAACATAAATTTCTGATAGTGGTAACATAAAGTAGGTTCAGGGGTGGAGAGGTTGAAGTAGAAAACTTTCCTATAAAACTGACTTTGGTTTAAAATGGTTTGCTATGTAACTTTAAGATGTTTTAAGGAATCTCTAAGGTAACCAGAATGAAAATACATACAGAAGACAGAAAAATTAATGAGAATGGTGTCAAAGCATATCACGGGAATAACACCACAGTTAGGACAAAATATTAACACCTAGACAAGGTACAGAGGTATAAAAAATGTAAAAATTGCTTTTGATTCATCAAAAGTGCTTCTCATGCAAAGAGAATATAAATTCAACATAAATAGATATTGAAATTAATGCCAATATTACAGCAACTCACTTAGTTGTGAATGTTTTTTTTTTTTTTAAGATTTTATTTAACAGAGATGACAAGTAGGCAGAGGGACAGGCAAGGGGGTGGGAGTGGGGAGGAAGTGGGCTCCTTCAGAAGAGCCCAATGTGGGGCTCAATGCCAGGACCCTGAGACCATGACCTGAGCTGAAGGCAGAGGCTTAACCCACTGAGCCACCAAGGTGCCCCGAAGAATAAATATTTGAAGTGAAGTAAAGGATTATATTCAATCATTTTAGGGAAGTGCTTTGTTAACTGATGAACTTACTGAGTCTCAGTTTTATATGTTTAAGATTAAAGCCTCCATAACATTGGAAAGCATAAACCAGAAACTACGTGGGTCTATCTCCAGTGTTCCGGGGATTTCCGCACCAATCCCCAGTATACCCACCACAATGCGGGCACAGTTTCTCACACGAAGCAAAACAGAACTTAGAAGAGACTTAGCACAGAGACCCTCAGAAATAGGGAGATTTTCGCAAGACCCTCAAAGCAATGGAAGAGCTTTCAGATTATGGAGACCCTCCCACTCCCAGGAGAGTCTCCTGGTCCTCCCTGTGGACATGATGGACCATCACTGGGCTGAAGCAGAATCCTTAGAGAAAATAAAAGCATGATGATGTTGGCTCGCAGATGTCCCTCTGGGAGAGACAGAGACATAAGACGGCGCTTCTCCAACTGATTTTCATTCAAGCAGAGCTACTGGAACCACATTTGAAGGTTTACCTTCCTCCTTCAGACTTGGACTTCACCTCTGTCATCTGCTTCATCCATTCTCACCTACCTGGATCAAAGACCACTGTCTTCTTTCTCGTCACATCCCAAGGGTCCTTCTTTTGCTCCAAAAAGGAGACCAAATCAGGCTTTGACACAATGAGACCTGTTTAATAGAGAAACCAAATACACATATTGCTGGAGAGTCTCTCAGTCCACACTGCGCTTAGCAGAGAAGAGAGAACACTGCAGAATTCTAAAAGATGATTTCCCAAACACTGTTGACCAGCAGCCCCTGTAGAACATGAAGGACTTTCAAAGAGTCACATCCTAACTTGCACTTCTAAGTACTGCTGATACAATAATAAGGAGTGAAAATTGGAGTTTAAATGCAGGTAGTACCCTTTTATGCCACGCCAGGCTTTCAACAGCCACTGATCTATAGAAATGATGTTACCTGAAGGAAGGGGAGGCTAAAGCTGAAAAGCAATCGTCAGGAGGATTTTGTCTACACCTACCAACCCTTACTTGTGTTCCTTAGTGCAGTGATCTGATCTCCAGTTATACAAAGAGGAATCATCCAAGGGACAGTCTTCAAAGGAGAATGAAACCCTGAGTGTGGTCTGGGAAATCTGGAAGGAGTCATTCTCACCCAAGAAGAGCAGGTGTCCGTAGTTCTCCAACATCACATCCCTGTACAGTTGCCGCTGAGTGTGGGTCAGGAGTCCCCACTCCTCCTCCGAGAATTTTATGGCCACATCCCTGAAGGCCAGCTGTCCCTGCAGTAAATACCACAGTCACCAAGAGGCCATTGATAGAGTTCACAATGGTCCCTAAGTTGAAAGAGGGAGTTAATGTCACCAGCTAGACCCCAACACCTGACCGTCACTGCTTATCTGACTGTACCCACCAAACTTTATCCCACATTTGAGTTAACCTCTTCTTTTCACCTTACCCTTTACTTTAGCCAAAACACCCCATGGAGAGAGGCTCCTGTGGTGAAAACAGAAACCACGCAATAAAAGGTTAATGACTAGGGGCGCCTGGGTGGCTCAGTGGGTTAAGCCTCTGCCTTTGGCTCTGGTCCTGATCTCAAGTTCCTGGGATCCAGCCCCACAACGGGCTCTCTGCTCAGCGGGGAGCCTGCTTCCCCCTCTCCCTCAGCCTCCCTCTCTGCCTGCTTGTGGTCTCTGTCTGTCAAATAAAGAAATAAAATCTTTAAAAAAAAGAAGTGGTAGAGTAGAAAACTGTCACGGTGATTAACTCAAGAACCATTTTCATTCACATGAGACTTACAAATCACATTATGGATGATGATGCCTCTGTCTTTTATTCCCACTATCAACACAAACACATAGAATGATACAGATAAAACAGCTATTATTGGGGTGCCTGGGTGGCTCAGAGGGTTGGGCCTCTGCCTTCGGCTCAGGTCATGATCTCAGGGTCCTGGGATTGAGCCCCGCATCAGGCTTCCCTCTCTCTGCCTGCCTCTCTGCCTGCTTGTGATCTCTCTCTCTCTCTCTCTCTGTCAAATAAATAAAATCTTAAAAAAAAAAAAAACAGCTATTATTTACACGGGTAGTATGATGAGGGATACAAGCAGAAAAACGTTTACCTGTAACTCAGAAGGCTGACCCACAGGCTTCCTAGTTCTGCTAAGAATAAAAAATATACTAATTGCTACATTCTTTTTTTTTTTTAAGATTATTTATTTGAGAGAAAGAATGAGAGAGAGAGCGCGAGCATGAGAAGAGGGAGGGTCAGAGGGAGAAGCAGACTCCCTGCCAACCAGGGAGCCTGATGCAGGGCTCCATCCTGGGACTCCAGGATCATGACCTGAGCCCAAGGCAGAGGCTTAACCCACTGAGCCACCCCCGCACCCCTGCTTGCTACATTGTTAAAGGGTCTCTTGACTCCCTGTACATCTCACCAATATTAATATCGAATTGAACAATAACATCGGAGAAATCTTGCAAAAGTAATTTTAGATGTACAAATTCGAACAAACATTTGTGATCTAATACTCTGTGCCCCTACCCTCCCCACTTGAACACTGAGCATATAACCACCAGCTTCATGAGGCCGACCTTCTGCCTCCTTCTGCCCACAGGTCCTGTCCCCATGCTACTTCAATAAACCTACTACTACCTCCGGTACCATACAGCATCTCCAGAATTCTCTCTTGACCCCCGTGCTTGAAGATCCCACTACACAGTATTTCATCGGACGCTTTGGTTTCAATCATCATCTGTGACCTATTTCAGGATTTTAAGATCCTCAAACATGTTAATTATGTGATTCTTTTTTTCTTCTTCTGAAAATACAAAGGAGGAAATAGGGTGCCTGGGTGGCACAATGGGTCAAGCATCTTCCTCTGGACTTCGGCTCAGATCATGGTCATGATCTCAGGGTTCTGGGATCTACTCAGCACGGAGTCAGCTGGAAAGTCTCTCCCTCCCCTCTGCCTCTACCTTGGATCAACCCTCCTTCTTTCTCTCACACACACCATCTCTCTCACTCTAAAATAAACATAAACAATAGCTTTTTTTTTTTTTTTTAAAGAGTATGCCTATGACATGAGTGTGGAATCAAGTAAAAACTCACAAGAGGGAGGTCTGACTGAGTCAGCTCCTCTACTCCCAGAAGTCCGTGCTACCAACTACAGCAAGGTGGGAGTCTCCATCAGTCCAGTGCAAACTCATGTGAGGTGGCTTGTGAGCAAATGGTCAAGAGAGGATTCTGGAGGCATTATTGGTTAAAAAAAAACAAAACCCTATTTTTATTAAGTCTCAGGGACAGGACCCATTGCCAGAAAGAGCTGCAGTGTGATTTTGAGAAGGCATTGTTTATATGCTTTTCCGTTAAGGGGATAGAGATAAAAGAAATTTCGAAGGGATTTTCATATATTGAATAAAACTTACAGGATCCTGGAGGTCTGGCTATTGTCCACCTGAGGTAGCTTTTGCCTCTAGCAAAGCATTACACTAAGGCACCTGTGAATTCCTTGAAGAAAGTCACACTTTGCTTGTTTCTAGTATTTATCGGTGGGTTGCACGTTGTAAGGACATTTCATTTTCCTCTACATTTCTTTTGCTTTGTTCTCCTGATCAGACACTACCAGCAAAGACAAACTAAGGAATTTCTAGCTGAAACGTGATGGTTTCTGCACATCACTGAGGAAATCCATCAAAGACCCTCATGAATGTAAGAAGGAACATACGAGCATTACTGGGGGGTTGTCTGGCAGAAAGCATCAAGCCATTAAAGAAGTTAACATCAGCTGTGATGGAACAAGTTGGTATGAGTGCCTAAGGCACACTGAAGGACCTGTGACCTTTGGTGTTGAGTAAGGGACTGGCGGGGATGGGTGGGGATGGATAGGTCATGGGCTAAGTGACCAGGTTCACCAAAAATCCCAGGAATGAGGAGGCACAAGGAAACCAGAGATAAGGGAACAGAACCAGACCACCTTGTTTGTTTTAAACATCAGAGATGAGATATTCAAAGGAGAAGTAATCATGGTACTATGGGGGGTGACATCAAGAAGATTTAAGTGCCCTCGTCACTTTTCTATAAAAGACCAACCATAAAAGTGCTCTGTGGCAACCCGTTCCGGACTCCTCTCACTCTAGAAAGCTCTTTTTCTGTTCTCCCCTTCACTTCACTTGATACACTATCCCTTTACCATTTTGTGTCCGAGAGTCTTTCTTCTGCTCCAGACAGACAAGAACCCTGCAAAGGTTGAGGCCACTTTTAGGCAAACAGGCTTGAGCACCAGACTGGGAAAAGGCCCGGTGACTGCGTGCCTGAACTGGACAGGCCCATCAGGCGACCCACCCCTGAACAGCCATAGGCCCTAAGTAACCGATGGGCTACTTAGAAAGGTCCCATTCCCAAAAAGGGAATATTCCATCTGTCTCCATAACTCCTCATCTTCCCCCTGCAAAAACAGGTCCCACCCACCACCTCCTTGCAGACAGCCTCTCTCCTAGCTCCTGTTCCCTGCTCCTTTGCTGTGTATCCAATGAACTTCTAGCTCCTTTGTTCTGCCTCAGGTGTGTTCTCTGGCTTCCCCTAGCCCGGCCCACACATGATCATCACCGGACATTTAAGAGCCCCCCATCTGATCAAGAGACACCCCATGTAGGCACCGCATTCTTGTATTCCCTAAGAAGCAAGTCAGAATGTCAATGAAATTATGGGAATACACTGGATTTATGCACACTTCGATCACATATACTTTCCCTGTCCTGGAATATATAGTATATTTTAGATACAGTGTGTTTTCTACATGCTAAAGGGTATGGACCTCGCCCTTTTTTTTTTCAGAGAATGTTACACATTTTTCTGGGTCTCATATCTACTGCTTATCTGTGCATTTTCTTACTCCTAGTCTATACAGAGCTGTAAGGCTTCCAGATGGGACCAAAATAAGACCATTTTCCTCCACCGATATCCCAGGACCAGACCCCTTCAGCAAAAGGAATCCTTAACACCTTCCCCGTGGATCTGTCACCAAGGGATTATTTCCAATACTGGCGAACAACAGTTTTTGTTTTGTTTTTAGTTATTCGACAGAGAGAGACACAGCAAGAGAGGGAACATTAGCAGGGGACATGGGAGAGGGAGAAGCAGGCTTCCTGCCCAGTGGAGAGCTTGATGTAGGGCCTGATCCCAGGACCCTGGGATTATGACCTGAGCTGAAGGCAGATGCTTAATGACTGAGCCGCCCAGGCACCCCTCAAAGTGACAACTGTTGATGGCCTACTGGAAGCCAGGTTGGAGAGAAGGGTTAGAAGGCTCTGGCTTATAGGTGAGAAGTGTTTTTATTTTTATTTATTTTTTTTTAAAGATTTTATTTATTTATTTGACAGAGAGATCACAAGCAGGCAGAGAGGCAGACAGAGAGAGAGGAGGAAGCAGGCTCCCTGCTGAGCAGAGAGCCCGATGCGGGGCTTGATCCCAGGACTCTGAGATCATGACCTGAGCCAAAGGGAGAGGCTTAACCCACTGAGCCACCCAGGCGCCCCGAGAAGTGTTTTTAAAGACCTAATTTTGAGTATCATTTCTGGATAGTTTCAAAAATTAGGTGTAAACATAAAGCAGAAACATCAGAACTAGAAAAGTCAGATTTGCAATGTCTAAGTGTGAGGAATTTCAGGAGAAAAACATGACTGGGCCTCTAAACTCAGACGCAAGCCTTACCTGAGAACTGGCCATTTCTTTTTTCACTTGGTCCTTTGGCGTTCTTCCTCAGAACAGATTCTAGGAGAAATCACAGCAGCGTCAGGAGAAAATGCCTTTTTAAAGCCACCGACAGAGCCTCTGCACCTCTAAACCACTCGCCTCCAGGAAGGGCTTTGAAATGCAGAAAAGGTCCAATTTCCTAGCCTTTTGTATCAAGAGCTATTCAGAAATAATGAATATCTCCTTGGAAACTAATCTTTGAGTTTTTCCTTCTCTGCTTTCAGGGGGCCTCCCAGCCACAGACACACTCACAACTTCTGGGAGAGCAGAAAGAAAGAAGTGTGCTGCACGGACCTGATGCTTCTAGAATCACTGGGCGGAGGCCATGTTACCTCTGCTTGAGCCAAAGCCTGCGCTCCGCTGTCTTCTATTCAGGGGAAGCCTTCCTGCTTATCGGTGGACTCATCTAGAATCGCCTGGAGTGTTTCACCCTCACCAATGGACAGAATCTGGGTGGGATGCTTGGAGTATGATCATTTTTGAAACTCCACACAGTGTCCTACTGGGAAGCGTTGGGGGAGGTGACCAGGCAAAGCACAGTGACCAAGTCCATGATTGTTACTGCTATTTAATCCGTGCCTTGTCCACTGGTGAGAGTTTCTGGAGACTGACACTTTGTCCCTCTTTCTACGGAACAGAGGGAGACACCCTCACAAATGGAGCTTGCCCTTAACAAATGCAAATCTCTTTTACCAAAGGCAACTTCTGCAGGGTTTCAGAGCTTTTCCTTTGTTTCTTTAAAATAAGCCTTAGGCCAAAGAGATCTATTTTGTGGTGATAAAATGCTCCCCTTGGTTAGCAAAGTTTATTTCCATAAGTCACCGCCAAGTCATTTTCCAAACTGAATGTACTTTTAAAATTCCCATTGGTGTAGAATGTTGTGGTTCGGAGTCGATGGCCAAGGAAGAATTCTTGAGATATCTTTGATGCAAAAAGGTGGTTTTATTAAAGTATGGGGCAGGACTCACGGGCAGATAGATCTGCACTGCGGTTGCCAACAGGTGACTGATTATATACTTTTAAGCTGGAAGGGGAGTAAGGACAGCACACGTCTCCAAAGTATTTTGGGAACATCCAAATGTTGTTCCAGGATGTTGACAGGGCTAGCTATTTTTAGGAAATGTTCATTTGTTACTGTTCAGTAAACCCTCAGTCATTAGATACTTCAGAGGTATACCAGTGGGCCGTATGTTTGGGGGATAATTGCTAACATGTATCTTGGGAGGTAGAAATAAAGGAAGTTTCCACGGGACTTTTCATATGTTAACGTAGACTGACAGGATCTTGGGAGGCCGGGATAATGTTATTCTAAGATTGTCTTTTGTCCTTAGCAAAGAGTCAACACGCAAGGCAGTTGAGCTCCCAGAGGAAGGTCACTCCACCTGTTTCAAGGACTTGCCAGTGGGCTGCCGGCAGTAAGGAAATCAATGCCTTTGTTTCCCACAGTAGTAACTGGGAATTCTAATTCCTCAATATTTTCACTTAAGTTTAGCTATCCTAGAAAATGTTCCGTGGCTTCTCACTGTAAATGTGAAGTTATCTCACTCCGGTTCCCCTGGTAACTGAAACTGAAACCATTTAAAAGCATCAAATGGAACAAAATCAAAATGGCTGCCTTAAAACACCTGGGGGGGCATTTTTTTTTTAAATAAATCTTTTTTTTTTAAAGATTTTTTTATTTACTTATTTGACAGAGATCACAAATAGGCAGAGAGGCAGGCAGAGAGAGGAGGAAGCAGGCTCCCCGCTGAGCAGAGAGCCCGACGGAGGGCTCAATCCCAGGACCCTGAGATCAGGACCTGAGCCCAAGAGAGGCTTAACCCACTGAGCCACCCAGGTGCCCCTGGGAGTCATGCTATTAAACTAAGTAACTTTTTTTCTTGTTTGAAAACCTCCCCTCCTCCCTTCTTAGACTTTTTTTTTTTTTTTTTTTTTTTTTTTTTTTAAGGAATCTGGCAGCACACTGAAAGCCTGATCAACAAGGCTGGCCGCACAGACACAATTCTTGTCAAAACCAGGTAGATCCTGTTGAAGGAGGAGCGTGAGCTTTTTGTCTCAGGGAGTCAAAGAGTAAATCTTGAGGACAAAGGGGAGTGAATAAAGTGGTAGAGTTTTATTAAGCAAGGATAATGGAAACTCTCCAGAGTGAGAGGGGTCCTGATGGGGTTGCCAATGTGGGCCTCCATCGACGGTCTTATATTCAGAACTGACCCGGGAGCTAGTGGCCTTAACGTTCTTGAGAAGCCTCAGTTTGACTAAGGACTGGGGATAACATCTTTAATGGCTTACTTCTTCTTTGGGGTCTGGTTATTTTTCATTTGTCACAATGTGACTGCCATAAAAGACTCCAACCCAAATGCCCAGGGCAGGGTGGTCTGGTTTGTTTCCTTATCCCTGGTTTCCTTGTGTGTGAGCATTTCTGCGATTTCTGTGAGCCTGATCATGGAGCCCCTACCTATCACTCCCTACCCAGCCCCACATGTCCTTTCTCAATGAGGCCCTTCAGATATAAATCAGTAGGTCATATACTTCGGGGATGATTGCCAAACTGTATCTTGGTGGGGCGTGGGGGTTAGAGATAAAGAACTTTCCAAAGGAATTTTTATCTGTTAGAGCAGACTTACAAGATCCTGGGGGTCGGGCTAAGACTGCCTTCTGCCCTTAGCAAAGTGTTAACATCCAGGCAGTTGAATTCCTAGGGGAATGTAACTCTGCCTGCCTCAGACTTGCCAGTGGGCTGTAAATACAAAAGAAATTTATAATTTTTCTTCTGTCTGTTTCCCACATCACTGCATTTCCCTACAAAACCCCCTGACCTTTCCTCCAGGTGGGCTTTCGGTTTGGAAAGCCCGGACCTCTGCGCCCTCCTTTGCCTCACAAAGCAACAAAGGTACTGTTTCTCTTTATCCCAAACTCTGCCTTTGTCTTCTGTTTTGGCTTTGAAGCATGGAGGTCATTTTTTTGCCAACAGAATAAAGGTATAGGAGAGGAAAACATTTTTTTTTCATCTCTTCTCAATTCTTTGCGCTTTTTTTAAAAAAGATTTTATTGATTTATTCATTTGAGAAAGAAAATAAGTGAAAAAGAGAACACAATCAGGGGGAGCGGCAGAGAGAAAGGGAGAAGCAGGCTCCCCACTGAGCAGCGAGCCTGATGCCGGACTCGATCCTAGGACCCTGAGATCATAACCTGAGCCAAAGGCAGAGGCTTATTAACCTACTGAGCCACCCAGGTGCCCCACAATTCTTTGTCCTAATAGTTAAGCAAACACAAGACAGGTTCACAAGAGAAAAAAAAATTCTTAACATGGGAACCTCAAAGATACTGAGTAAGGGACAGGTGGGGCTACATGACCAGGCTCAAAGAAATCCCAGATGTGGAGAAACTCCGAACTGTAAAAAAGAGCAAAACAAATAAACAAAAAAACAAAAACAGAGATAAGGGAATAAAACCAGACTATCTCATTTTGTCTTAAATGTCAGAGATGAGATACTCAAAAGAGAAGTAATCATTGTGCTATCAGTGGTGACATCAAGAAGATTTAAGTTCCCTGGTCAGTTGTTTTTTTTTTTTTTTTAAAGATTTTATGTATTTATTTGACAGAAATCACAAGTAGGCAGAGAGGCAGACAGAGAGTGGGGGGAAGCAGGCTCCCCGCTGAGCAGATAGCCCGATGCGGGGCTCGATCCCAGAACCCTGGGATCATGACCTGAGCTGAAGGGAGAGGCTTAACCCACTGAGCCACACAGGCACCCCAGGCAGGCAGGTCTTTAAGCAATGTTCATCCCGGGGTGCGGGGAGGCGGGGGCGGGGTGGGGGGGTGCTGGGTGACTCAGTCCTTTAGGCATCTACCTTCGGCTTGGGTCATGATCTCAGGGTCCGGGGATCAAAACCCACATCGGGCTCTTTGCTCAGCAGGGAGTCTGTTTCTCCCTCTTACTCTCCCTCTGCCCCTAACCCCACTCATGCTCTCTCTCTCAAATAAATAAATATTTTTAAAAAGCTCATCTCTGGTATTAGCTCTCTTCCTGGGAGAGGTGCCTCATCTAATTTATTCTCAGTACATCTATCAGCCTCCAAAAAGAAGGAAATCCTTCCATCTGCAGCAACAGAATCATCCTAGAGGACGTTTTGTTAAGTCCAATAAACCACACGCAGACAGAAAGACACTGTATGAAATCAGAGATGCAGAATCTTTAAAAAAAAGGCAAAATTATGAAAGATTAGCATGTTTGTTCCCAGGGGCTGAGGTGGGGGAGAATGCTCAGATGTTGGTCAAAAGCTAAAAAAGCTCACTGTGCAGGATGCAGAAACACTGAATGTTGAACGTACAGCGTGCTGACTGAAGTCAGTAGGAGTGTATTGTACACTTCAGATTTTCTAGAAGAGGCCATCTTAAGTGTTCTCACCTTTCACACACACACCGCCACACACAGATCTTAACTATGTCAGCCGAAGGAGGTCTTTATTCCACTGACTGTGGAAATTATGTTGTAACCAGGACCCGAGGGTACAAGGACACCTGGCTGCACGTGTCCCAGACCTATTCTGCCTCTCACGCTGACAAAATCCAAAGGCAAGAAAGACGACTTTGGCCGCCTCAATTGTGGCCCCAGACTTTCCAGCTGGGTTCCTTCTGCCTCGTCTCCTGGCTCAGGAGGAAGACCCTGAGGGCAAAGCATCCCCTGAGGGGAACTGAAACGACCCCTGAAGCCACTGGGACTGCCCTGAGCCAGAGAGACCCCACCCCCTCACTGACCCCCAGACAAGGACAGATTTAACCCTGGCTGCCTGCCCGCCGCTACCCCCTCGCTTTTGCCCCCCATTTTCCTTCTGTAAACCTGGACGTGTTTTCAGCACTTTGGAGAGCGTCTTTGGGACATTCCTGGGCTGTCTTGCGGGTGTGGGTCTCCCCGAAGTAACTTCCTCTCTCGTCTCCCCATCATGGGTCTTTCTGCCTTGGATTCTGTCAACAGGGAGTGGCCAAACCTGGTCTGTTTGGGACCCCAGGAGCTGCG